CTCTATATATCCGATAAGATTTGCCTCATTCTTACTGCAAGTAATACTATTACTAGCAAAAGTAGTACTACTAAAAGCAGGAAAAAAGCACTCAAGAAAGTAACATTTATCTATCACATCTCGCCCATACATTCACCATAGGTAATAATCATGAAATGGAATGAATGCCCTTGATGGTATAATAAGGCAATGCTACCAAGGGTACAACCATCACAATAATTGTCGAATCATCGCTCACTGCAACACATCTATCTATTTCTCTATCTATCTATCTACCTAACTGTCGCATCTATGCCTCTGCATTCCATCTAGAACGCAGTAACCAGCGAATGCGCGACGCGTTCATTGCTCAATGAAACCCGTCCGCCCTCTTTATAACTCATACGAAACGTTGTTTCCATAGTAACATGTCAACACACACTTGACAACGCGCCAATAACATATGTGTTGTATGTGGAAGAGCCGAGAGAAGAAATGTGCGCCTTCTTTTTAACTCTTCACGTCTTGTTTTTCGACGTCGTCTTTTCATCTCTAGTCAATGATTCCTTTCCATTTCATCATATTTCTATGGCAATTACCAAATGATATCTATCTCATCGCTTGTTGCTGCATCGTGCACATACACTCGACCTATAAGATGTACCTGTAAGACTTACCTGTATGTGTGCATGAGGTATGCATATATGCATACTCAGACATATAAATTTACTCTATTCAATGATAATACTGTCAAGGGCTTGATAAAGAAGGTAATAACTCAGACCTAATAACAGCATTAACAATCAAGTTGTTTTAAAATAGCTCGTAAAATGGCAGTTCTCATAGCCGTATGGACACACAAATGACAAAGTTTTGTAGTGAGCAATTAATTCATTAGTCGAATGAATGCGTGCTTGCAATTCCAAAACAATCAATCATATTAATCTCAGATAGAAATAACACTAACAACAGTTTGTTTCAAGAATAAGCCAAAAAAGCTGATTGTTAGAAAGCCAAGCTTTCTAACATACAAGTAAAATTCAAAAATTTTCAAATCTCAAAAAGTGGTTCGTTTTTTTTTTTGAAGTAAGGCAAATTCTTTCACCATAACCATCAAAAACTAGTTTTTAGATGGACTGAGCAATAAATAAAATGTCTTTAGAAAATCGAGTTGACACTTGTTACGGTTTTGCAGAATATGCAAATAAATAACATATTCTGAGGTACTTACAATTCATTGGCTTTTAGAGGAATTTAAAAAATCCTCTTCTATGATGCTTATGGAAAGGTTGAAAACATTGACGCGTGATGAAATGATTATGAATGAAACTCAAATAATAACTGTCACAAATAAATTTTATGATCCAGTTGTACGTACGCATATATGTGAATGATGGTACAAGCGATGTGAGAAACGAGGCGAATAACTTGGTCATATAACGATCACAATAGCGAAGAAGGATACAAGTGGGATGTTTGCAAACGAGACGATACGAATGCTGTTGATCTACATGCAAAAAAGCGCTGGAAAGAATGTTTCAGGCTAACTGTAAACACCAACGAATTTGAAAATATCCTCATTGAACGATTTAATAATAAACGTCTCAACGTTTGCAATATTCAATCTAACTGTTGCGTAGATGTCTCGCTAAACATATTCACCCATTCCATGGAATGATTAAAAATTTGACTTCATTTGAGAGAGTTGAGAACATCTACTGAAACGGAGCAGATGAAACAAAGAATAATTGTTACGAAGTAGGAAGAGAGATGCAATAAAGTATCATGGCAATTTTATGTGTGCATGAAGATTGGACCGAACATAATGTTTTGTGGAAAAGGTTGAATTGATTTATTCCTTTTTTTGTTGCTAATAATGGTAATTTTTAAATTCAACATTTTCATCTATTGAATGTGACTTCTAATGATAATTCTAACGAAATTAAAAGAGTAAAATTTACTGAATTTATGTCTGTATTTTTTCTTTCGAAAAATCCAAATTTGCGATACAGAAATAACGTTGAACGTATAAACAAAATCAACGAAGACCAAAAAATGTCTGATTGGTTAAAATAATTCAGTTGAAAGATACAAATCAAAATAAAAACAATTCCTTCATAAAATTTTATTAATATTAAATGAATGTGTTTCGTTCAAATCGTTAAAGTTCCTAATTTTATAAATATCACCACATAAATCTGTTTCCTGAAGTATTCGACTGCATGCAAATTGTGCAAATCAACGAATGCTTTCACCAACTTTATCCATTGATAACGCTCACTGCTTAGTGAACTCGCAATGCAAAAACCGTTTGCATAATTGTTTTCCGATTCCTGCTTCGACCCTTTAAAATACATGCAAGTCGAAAAACGATCATCTTTTTTCTCGTAAGCCAAAAAAATCTGATCATCTTCACAGCGTTCATCGCTTCTTCTTGTGAATGTATGAAGGAATTTATAAATGTACG